TTAATTTATCAACTAATTGTAAAGCTTAAAATAATTCAATTAAGCATCTCCTTATACTGATATTAAGAGAAATGAACCTTTCTTCTAAGAGTAATCTATTAAATGATATTCCAAAGCAAAATTGATTATGATACATATCGATTATCATTGATGCTTTTTTAATATGAATGCCATTGTTTAATTACAACTATAAACATAAAGAGGGAATAAGGGTAAGATATTGAGTATATTTGTGAATAATCTTCCTTATTAGAAACTAAACATGAAACACTACCCAAATTTAGTTGTAGGGTTTTTGTCAAAAAGGATTTCGTTACTTTACCAAGAAAATAAAATCCTGGCATTTTGTAGTGGCTAAATCTTTATTTGGAATAAAGATTTGCGCATCACATAAAAAAACATAACAGTTAAAAACTAACATTGTATACATTTTGTTTCACAACCATTTTTGTCTCTGTCCAATGTTCTCGTTAACATTTTCCTTCCTCCTTTCTTTCTTCTAAAGTTCTTTTTTATATATATTCAAATGGCAGCGCCCCTTATACAGTTTTGGAGTAAGGAGTATTTTTTAATTCACGCACATAAAAAATTAAAATTAAATTTAGAGCGCTTTTAAAAATAACGAAGTTTCAATCGATAAATTTGCACGAGTAATTAATTTGTGGGAATTATTCTCTTTAAAAAGAATATTCTAAAGCTATCAAAAAGATTCAAAATGCTATTAGATATACCAGGTTGAATAAAAATTATGTTCATTTGTCAGGCAAACCGTAATGATTACAATATATTCTGCCATACATTTTCATTGAAGCTGATTTTATACTTCAGAGAGAGAGAGAGAGAGAGAGAGTAGATTAATGAAATTCACAACCGTTACTTAAGGTATCCGACTACCCTAAAATTGTGAATTTCGCCAAAAATTGACAATTTTTTATGATTTTATTTTATAGACCATCTTATTAGCTTTATAAAAATACCAAGTTTATTGTTTTCCGTTCATTAGAACAAAAATTACAAGTGTTTTAGTAAAAGCAGATTCCATCACTTTAAGCAAAATATGTCATACTTTAAAACGCGTTTTACTCGAAATGTGTTTTGTTTTGAAAATTCTCAAACGGGGACAGCGATTGCTCAAAAAGTTTTGAAAATAATTAACTGAAATTTTTTGTGTATGTTTTTTATAATAGTAAAAGCGTTTTAACCTTCAGATTTATCAATAACTGTTTTATAACAAAATTTACAGTCTCTTACGTTAACTGTTTTTTTAAGCAATTTGATGTAATAACCAAGATAAAGTGCTCTAGTTTTTGTAAAAATTAAAATATCTCTTAACCTGAGGGTCATTTCAAAAAGGAATAGCAAAGTAATACATTAATATTGAAAAATTGAGTATATGTTCATTTACTATTTATACAAAATGGGCCCCGTTTATGTAATTTTTTGTCAATTTTACCCATTTTTTCCCATTTTAGTAGTAATAATTTATTTTTCTCTTCTTAATTTATGCCTTTTTTTCTTGAATTGTACTAAATAAATCTAAAAACCACAAAAAATATCAATATCTCCATTTTTTTTTAAAAAAAAGTTGTCGCAAGTAGTCGGATACCTTAATAAACTGATGAATAAATGTGAGTAAAAATGTTATAATTTTGCTCAATTTAATTAAGTTGAATTACTAGACGTAGTTTTTTGATAGAAAATTTTAATATGATACAAATGTAAAATTTTTCTTCATCCATTTTTTATAGCACAAGTGTCTTCTTCAAAATGATCAAGATGGATGTTTTTTGAAATTCATGGTTAATATTGAATGTTAAATCTGAATCGGATTAATAATATGTTATTACTTATCATGAGAGCAATATTTTTCAACTGTTAAAATTCGATTAATTTTTAAAACATATCCTATAATTGCTATTTTATTGCGTCCTAGTATCTATTTATAATCTGAATACTTCAATAATTTGTTAATTATTAACACTTAATATTCATCATATTTGTAGACTTTAGTTCATCCCAGAATTTAATCTTTCAGAATCTCTTTTTATTAAAATAAATAAAATGTATTGTACACATATAGAGAGATTTTTATTGCTACCAAATTATGTGTTATTTTCATAATGAAACATGATTCAAAACACCTTTGTTCATCAAATATTGATGTAGTTTTTTTTATAGTGCTAGTAAATGACGGATAAATGTAAATGTGATTACAACAAAATACCCAAAAGTAATTATGAATAAAAACTAAAGATTTTTTAAACAGAAATCAACAAAGTTAGAAAAAAGATGCTTCATATTTTGTTATGGGTACAATGTCTGCAGAAAACTTATTTTCCGACATATATATATACAACAAAAATTCATCTTTTATGATTTCTCTGAGTTTTCTCTTGCTTCCTTTTGTAGGGTGCATTCAAGACTTTTGTATTTGGTCAAATTGTCAAACCCTAGTATGGCATGCATTTCTTTTTGATTGCTTCATGTTATGTCACAATATAAATACATTTTTTGATCCTACTTTGATCACACTTTGAAGGATCATCAGTCATTCATATGAACAAAAACGGTTACAGCTGTCAAGTTAGTTGACACGTCCAAGCTCATTTGAAGATAATTTTAAATCAATGTCATCAGCTTACAGAATAGGGCACCAAATGTTCCAAGACTCGCTTTTGCCCTTGTTGTAAGATGCTCCTCACAATGTTCAGGTGGTCTCTTATATAAGGCACCCCAGGATGTATTGTCAGGGTGTGAACGAAACATCGTTCTGCCGTTTCGAAGTCTTGTCGTTCAAAATGGAGCACGCATCGATTGTGTAGAGCTTTTTGATTGGCTGGATCTAACTTCAGAACCTTTTTGTAACACTAATAAAGAAAGAGAAATGTTTTTATCATTTAAAATGCAGTATTATATGATGTAAAGCGAATCTTAATCTTTTTATCTCTTGTTAGTTATGGATGAGTTTTGTGAGTTTTGAGGTTTGTACAATATAATGAGTTCAGTTGATTTATTTTCTTAGGGGAGTTTCTTTAAATAAATATAAGCGAGAACTACTCTTTTGCATCTATTCTTTGGCAGACAAGTAATTGATTTATATTTTTCTCCGTAGTCCTTAAATGAGCTCGAAAAGGATTGCTTTATGCACGCATGTTGCTTCACATTTCGATGCTCGATAACTTATTTGAAAGTAAACAAGTATAGTATATAAAAAAATTTTTTAAGTCAATTCCTACTTAGGTCAACAAAGAAAATTTTTATTTTAGTTACTTTTTATTAAATAGTTACAATTAATATGAATATGTATATACATATGACGGAATCCCAATATTAAGTAACAAAATAAAAAGCGATTTTCCTTGCAATTTTCCATTTTACTTTCTACACTGGTGTGCAAAAATTAAGGACGAGACGGTTTTTTCAATATAACTTTGTACAAAAGCTTTCCAAATCAACACATTTAATACCGTAAGATCCCCAATACGTAAGGACATGTGTAATGTAAGCAACACTTACTAAAAGAGAAATCAGAGGGATAAAAAGAAGCTTGATTGAAAAAGTAGCATGGAGCGCAATGCGACTGAAGGCCGAAACATCCCTGTGATGGGTGCCCAGCAAGAAACATCCGGTCTTTAGTAGGGGATATGATCTCCCCTGACCGCTAGGCAGGTTTCGCAGCGTCTGCCCATGCTGAGAATGAGGGTGTCAATGAGTTATTGAGGCATTGCTGCCCATTCGTCTTGCAGCGCCAATCGAAGCTCCTGAATCGTTACTGGTGGTAAGGTACGAGCTGCCAAGAGTCTGCCTAGAAAATCCCTACATTCTCGATGGGATTGAGATCCGGAGATCGTGCCGGCCAATCCATACGTTCAATATCCTCACTCTCTAAGAGCTGTTCGGCAGCTACTGTGCGATGACATGGTGCATTGTCGTCCATGAAAAGGAACTGCAGACCCATAGCGCCTCTAAAAAGACGCACATATGGAAGAAGAATCTCGTTACAATAACGGGTCCTGTTGACTGAACCTGCGTCGAAGATGTGAAGGTCTGTACGACTACCAAGCATGATGCCTCCCCAAACGAGAACACCGCGACCTCCATACCTGTCCCTTTCAATGATGTTCGAGGGAAGAATCGCTACTCAAACTGAATCTGCTCTCATCTGTAAAGAGTACTCGTCCCCATTCATTGTCTCTCCAATTCCGGTGCTCCCGGCACCACAGAGAACGCCTTCTCTGATGGGTAGGCGTTAAAGGTACACACCGTACAGGGCGTCGTGCAAACAGACCACCACCGTGCAGTCTTCTGGCCACGGTAAAACGCGATATCGGTCGTACAGTCGCCTGTGTCGTGTGTCTGGCGATTTCTCCCGCTGTCTGCCGCCTGTTTCTTCTGGCCTGTAAGACAATGTACCGGTCATCTGCGGGTGTGGTTCCTCGTGGACGACCACTACTGAACCCCCGGATAGCTGTTCCTGTAGTTTGAAATTGTCTCCAAAGTCGTGAAACGATGCTGTGAGCAATTCCGAACTCTGCAGCCACACTTGTCACACTGCGGCTTTTCTCCAACTTCCCAATGATTCGACCTCGGGTAAAAGCATCCAGATGTCGTCTAACAGATTGATTATTCGCCATTTCTCGCTGAGGCAGCAACTCGGTGGGATTTTAACTCCTATACGGCGTGCAATCTCTTTGCCAGAAATACTGATCTTACACCGACAACATGCTTTATACTACTCAGACACTCCCCCATTACGTCTACCTGCATATCTGCGCATGTGCTACCGTACATCACCTTACTTAATCTCCTGATTGGTCTTTCTGTCCGCTCTGCCTCTTCGTTCAGCTGATATGCTAATTTTTCGACTTCGTCCTTAATTTTTGCACACCAGTGTATGTATGGTATTGGAATATTTTTTGTTTGTTTGTTACTATTTATTCCTTAATTAAGTTTAATGATTCTAATAAAAAATAAATCACGTTCTCAGAAATTAGACCATCCTTTCCAGGTGGGTTTCGAACCCACGATCTTTAGACTATAAGTCCAACAAGCTATTCATTGCGCTACAGGGACACAACGAACGTTTTCCCTTTATATATATGCTGTTAGAATATTATTTTTGTTTGTTACTATTTATTAACTTTTTAATTTAACTAATGACTTAAAATTTGAAAAAACTATATGAACATCAAGTGTCACCCACTGCAAGTTTAAAAAAATGTGTTTGAATTTGAATGGATGAATAGAAAGTATTTTATTAAAGACTGAAAATTTGAACAAGATATATATATATATATATATATATATATATATATATATATATATATATATATATACGAGGGATATTCGGAAACTAAAAGGTCCGTTTACTTATAAAACATAAAACATTACAGATTTTTTCAAAACACTTTATATTTTAAATTCCTTACATGTGTCTCTATTTTTCTAGATACTTTCCATATTTGTTTAAACATTTGTCATAACGTTCTACGAGCTTCTGTATGCCTAAGTCGTAGACGTCTGCCGCCTGTGAGGATAACCAGTCTTGAACTTCTTCTTTTACCTCGCCAGCTGTGTCGAAGCGCTTGCCGCCGAGAAACTCTTTTAGGTAGCGGAATAAGTGAAAATAACTCGGAGCCATGTCTGGACTGTACGGTGGGTGGTCAATCTGTTCCCATCCAAAAGATCTGACCAGATTTTGTGTGTTAATGGCAGAATGGGGTCTGGTATTGTCATGCAGCAACAGAACTCCAGACGTCAGAAGACCACGTCGCTTATTCTGTATTGCACGTCTAAGTTTAGTTAGGGTAGCGCAGTAAGCGGCTGCATTTATTGTTGTCCCTTGTTGTATAAACTCGACTAACAAGACCCCATGTCTATCCCAAAACACGGTTGCCATAACCTTGCGTGTTGAGATTGTCCGCTTGGCCTTGACTCTGACTGGTGAATTTGTATGACGCTATTCCATTGACTGACGTTTAGACTCTGGGGTTATGTGAGAAACCCACGTCTCGTCCCCTGTGACAATCCTCTCTAAAAATTGATCACCTTCTTTATGATATCGATCCAAAAAATCAAGAGCACAAGCCATTCTTTTCAGTTTGTGTTCCTCAGTAAGCAGCCTGGGAACCCAACGTGCACACAATTTGCGAAATTTCAACTTTTCGGAAACGACTTTGTGCAAAGTTGTTCTACCCACATTTGGAAATTCCAATGCTAAAGTTGAAATTGTGAATCGCCGGTCTTCACGAATCTTTTCATCCACGGCATTGACCAAATCATCTGTGATCACTGATGGTCGACCGGAACGCGGTTCATCATGAACATTTTCCCGTCCGTCCTTGAAAGCTCTCACCCACTTACGCACTTTGCTGCTACTCATCGCATTTGGGCCATACGCGTCGCTTATCTATCTATGAATTCCCACTGCTGAAACGTTCTTTGCTGTCAAAAACCATCACAGTCAGCGGGCTGATCGATTGTTTTAAACATTTTGAAGTAGCACTGTACTTACCACATTGCAACAATACCAATGCAAATGGCGTCGTTTGACGAGCAAGGTATGCCGGGAGTTGGTACGCATGCGCATTTCAATGTTTGCGCGACATTCGATTAGCTACGACGATTCGGACCTTAGTTTCCGAATATCCCTCGTATATATATAGATATATATATATATAAATGTATATACATATATATATATGTATATAAATCTATATAGGGGGAGGGGGAACTAATAGCAGGAATTGAAAAATCGATGCAATGTATTACAAGCAGTGACGGACCCATTTGATGAACCACAAAAGTACACACCAAGAATTTATGATTTTTTTAATAAATTACAAGGCTTTTGCGAAGAACATAATTCTGTATTTATAAATCCCGCTAAATATTAGAATAATATAAAATTCAATAAAAACTATTTGAAGCACGATTTTGCCTGCTATTTATTTTTCTGTTCATTTGTTTTCAAATTAGACATTAAAGACAGGTTGTATCTTTGCTTTTAGAGGCTTGTGTATATTTAATCGTATTAGAGTTTAAAGTATATATTTGTAATATTGTAATTAATTCAATTTCCAAGTAAACGAAAAATATAGCTTCAGATTTACATTTCATTCAAAAATTAATCTAGCAAAACTTTATTTTAATTATAACGGGCATCTTTACTAATGGAATAGAACATACGTGCAACAATTAGGGATACAATTCAATATTTTATAGATATATTTTTATTTAAAGTGCTACAAATAAATCATGGGTGCTTTAAGTTCTTAGATATATAATCAAAGACAAATTATGATTGGCTCTTAAATATGGAAAGACATTAGATATGATGATACGTAAAATATTGCTTGGTAATAAATTTTAGGAAAAAAACAAACACTTTAAAATTTGACTATTTTTTTATAAAAGGGATGTATGAAAATACGAATATATAGGTTGTTTACCTTTTCTGCTCCATCAAGATTTTTTAAGTAATTGACATTTATATCAGCTAATAATAGAAGTCCACTGATGTGATCTGGATAATTCTGTAGAGAAAATTTTAATTTGTTTATATATATAAATTCAAAATATAGTGCAAATATATAAAACATGTGCAAGGTAATATTTTGTAAGGCCCTCCCACTTGTAAACAGTTTTTAGAATTTTGTTTAATTAAGCAAAAATTTAACTGCATTAATAAAAACAATTTATACATATATAAGTTAAGAGTTATCTCTCATAAAATTTCTTTATAAGACTGAGAGAAGTATACTTCCCGTCAACTTCCTTAAGGTATCCGACTACGTTCGGAACCGTGATTTTCAAAAGCACATAAATGGATAATTTTCATGATATTTAGTGTCACTTAGATTAGAATATATGCATAAAATTGTTTTAAGGACATTTTGACAATTTTTTTTATTTAAATACAATATTTTGGCAAAAAATTAACTTAGAATATTTTTTTCCAAATGTTCTCCTTGTGTGAAAAATTCTTCTATTAGAATAATACTTTGCCTGTATATAGCTCAGACCTCTGTTCAGAGGCTCAACTAGAATTTTTGAAATATATATCTTAGAAGTGGGTTTATTCATGTTTTACGACAACAGAGGGGAGCAATTTTAAGAAAAAAACGCGAATAATTATTTCAATTGGTGGTAACTCTGAAAATAATGTCAATTTTAAAAAATTCTAGTTGAGCCTCTGTAACGAGGTTTGAGCTATATACAGGCAAAATATTATTATAATAGAAACATTTTTCACAAAAGGAGAACATTTGGAAAAAAAGATTATTCTAAGTTAATTTTTTGCCAAAATAGTATATTTAAATAAATATTTTTTGTCAAAATCTCCTTAAAACAATTTTATGCATGTATTCTAGTCTGAGTGAAGCTAAATATCATGAAAATTATCCATTCATGCACTTTTTTAAAATTACGGCTCCGAACGTAATCGGATACCTTAAATTAAAATGTAGATGGAAAGCTTTTTTACCGCCTATGATTTGGGATGCTAGTATTTCGGCTAACAAGACAACTGATCTTCGGATTTTCAAGTCATAAACGCAAAGGATGGTTTGTGACTTTCCTGAGCAGCAAGAAAACTAACTGTTCCAAATGACGTATAATAGACTAAAAATGGTGACCGTAAGCCAACTTTGAAAAAAAAATATAAACATAGTCGCTTGGGCTCTACGTAACCACATAAGAGATCAATATATATTTTTTGTTTGTACAGCTTGTAATGCACCATTATGTGTTTATCCCTGTTTCCTGAAATTTCACAGAAAGAAATAAGAATAAATTCTTAAATTTTTGAATAAAAATTATATCTAATTTATGACTCCTATGGTAGATTTTAGTATTTGCAAATTATATTTTATGAGTATCATGTGATGCGATATGAAAAGAAATGCAAAACATAAGATGTCCTACCTTCGAATAGCTCCAAATGAACCGTGGGAAACATACTTCCCACCAAAAAAATGCTCTTAAAAATCAAATTAATTTTACGTAATAAATAAAAATGAATTGATTATTACTAAAGGAATTTTTTTATAAATCAGACTCAATCTCCAAAATATAGTTAGCATAACATTACTAGAAAATTGGTCCTACAAAGGGTTCAGTTTAATTTTTAAAATTGCCTTCATACATATCATTTTGAACTCCGGTTAAAAATCTTTACTATGATTTTATTATTCTTTAATATATTATTACAAATAATTAAGAAAATATTTTAAATAATTCCACTATCAATATATACATGAAATGTCAATTAATATAATTATATTAATTTTAAATGTAGTAAAAAGCACTTCATTTAAAAACTACACAACTTTTGCATAATGTATTCATTAAATAAACACATTGAAACAACATGTTAAAAGAGATACAGCCTCAAAGAACAACATAAAAATTCTGTAATCTAAGTTAAATTTATTATTGATGTTCTCACACAAGAACAATGATATTCTTTTATGTAGAAGCACTTCCAACGTAAGTTAAATAGCTGTGCCTGCTTTATTTGATGCTATTCACCCTCCATAGTTGCTACACTGTGAATAAATCATAAGGGGATGATGAAACATGGAATCCTCTGTGCCATTGAACGCAGGTCAATGCTATGTATAATAAAAACAAGATAGCCCATTACCTGCAGAAGGTGATCGAGAGAAAAAACAGCCTCCGCTTGTCTGTGTTGTTCGGATAGCAATAAAGCGAGGTTGAATAAGGCCTCCCTGGAGTTTGGATCCTTCTATATAATGGGAAAAAAGAATGCAACACAAAGTATCTTGTAATGTATATGACTCTAGATGGGGGAAAATATGTTTAACAATGTTTTGAATAGATGATTTTCAAAGTTAAAGGGTACATGTAGCTCATGCTTGTTTATTTATTAGGCTACAAGATACATGTTAGTTTACAGCCATCTAATCTTTTTGAGACTTAGATAGTCACCTCGTAAAAAGTTAAGTGTTGAAATTTCCGTTTCCCAACAATGAGCAAGTTTTGCCTTAAGTAGTTTCTGTGGAAAATTATTTCTTTTGAAAAAGGAGAAAAAAAACTGAGTAAAAAAAAG